GGGGTTATTTCAATACCAGCAAAATCTGCTAGGACTAATAATATTGTGGTTCTGGAGTTCTCTCTAATTCATCCTCCTCTTCGCGGAGGACAATTTACGTGGGTTTACAAGTAATAATCATAATTTGATAGATTTTTCCATGGGATGACACTTTTAAATTCTAAAGCAAATTAAGTTTAGCCTGGAGTTTCATATGTGATCATTGATTGTTGTCTTGTTTTACTGGAGATCATTGGTCGACTCGTGGTAGAATGGTGATGGTTATTGAGGATTTAGTGGTCAAGTGGCGGACCAGACTGGGAAGATAGATACTAATAAGTTAGTATTTAGTATCCAGCCTAGTGCTGTATAGAGCTATATATATATATATTGAATACATGTGTTTAAGGTGGAAAATGGTCACGTCTATATGTTGAGGATATATATACTTTAATTTATGTGGGGCTGAAGTAAGGCAACTACTATATCAGAGGGTTTTATATTACTGGGTTTCGACCCAATGTTGGGACTCCAAATTAATATGCCAACAACTATTTATTCACAGCAGTTATTTTGGGGTGCAATATGGAACCTACACTCTTATCTTGGGCTTCATTTGGGATAAAAATTCAGGACAGTGTGGTGACCATAATAAGTCTTTTTCACATATGGTTGGGGATTTAATGTTGGAAGAGGATGTAAATAGGTGTCCAGATTTATACATGCTTGTGATTAAGAAAAAGACAGAATATGATTGGTCTGCTAGACCTGGTGCCAAAAAAAAAAAAAAAAAAAAAAAACCTCCTTCACACACAAGGAAAGAAATTGTTCAAGAATGATATGGTAGTACATATTTGTTAAATAAAGATACATAGTGCGCAAATTTTGGAATGAGTAATATATTTGTTAAATTCCATAGTATTGATAAATACATCCTAATAAGTATAAATTATAGCCAATGAAAAGAAAGGGGAATATTTGCAGCAAATGATTCTAATTCTAATCATGTCAAAAAAGAGCGCACAAAAAGGATTGACAAGGTCAAGAAGCTGATGGTTTGAAACTTATTTTAGCACGCGAACTGCAAGTAGCCAGAACGCCATTGTAGAAGAAAGTGAGCATTTGGTCCAGTCTATGAATATAGGCACAATCCTATTCCTATTTGACTTGGGGTTTTAGGTTTTAGGTTTGGTTTCTGATGGCTACAACTTTTCCATGAATTGGTATATCATAAAAACTTACGTACTTATATCAAACAATATTAATTTCTATAGTTATATTATGACCAATCTGAGAATATGTATTAATTAACTATAATTTGGTAATATGATTGTTATATAAAAATATGTGTCATATATTTATTGGGTTGGTCTATTGGGGAAGGTAATTAGCCTTTCCTTCACGTCATTCACCTTCCCCACTAGCTCAAACACAGCATTTTTGTTCTCGTTGACATTGAGATTTTTCCTCCTAATTCTATTCCGGAAGTGCTTTAGTTATCATTTGGTATTTTCTTTTAGTAAATTATTGTTAATTCAAGCGAGGTTTTGGTGGTATTAATTAGTATTACGTTTACGTATTTGGTGGTAATAGAAATTTAAAACCTGTCCATGTTGCTGATGGTAGGTTAGTTACGAGAAGAAAAATAAGTTAATATAATATTGTTCCTAATTTAAGGAACTCATTTTTATATTAAGTACTAATATTACTCATTTAAATTCGATTTTACATTTAGTCAATGGTTATCAGAAAGGAATCAGTTAGAATCATGATGTCTTTATAATAACGTAAACTTGTAGTTTCTAACTATTTAAATTGAATGTCGACGTCATGGTTTACGAATTAGCAGCCAAATAGTACTCACATATAACTTATTGGAAGGCTACATCCAGCCCAGGAGAAATTAATTTGTAGTATACTTTCATGCCAAATAATTAACTTTGGCTCCAAACAGTATTTCTATAAACTTTTTCATATGTCAAACTGAATATTTTGGTTACCTAATCAAGTTCTCATAAATCATAACGGTCTCGCATAATTTTGGTGAACATAAAATAAGTACACGCCAAATTGTAGTTCAACTCAACTTCCCTAATAAACAACCAAAATATCAGAAGTCTTCGAACCTAAAGCCCACACAAAACTCTCGAACTATTATTATCCATATAAATACTAATCTCTTCACCATCTTTTATACACATCTAATCATCTTCTCTCCTTCTCCTCACAATGGCTTCTGTATCAGTTAAAAACAGATCCAAAATAAAAACTACAATACTCATTGCATCTGATGTAGCTTCATGGTTGTGTGCTATTAGCCTTATGGCACTTGTATTAATGAGTTCTGTTAAGGAAAACAACGCTGGGAATTGGGAAAATTCTGTCGTCAGAGGAAAGCAGCTGCACCTGTCTCATAATCGACCATGCGATGAAATATATGTAGTTGGAGAAGGAGAAACATTACATACAATCAGTGACAAGTGTGGTGATCCTTATATTGTTGAAAGGAATCCACATATTCATGATCCTGATGATGTTTTTCCTGGTCTTGTTATCAAGGTTGTTCCTTCCAACCACAACAAGTCATTGAGATAGTACAAGTACCTTTTTGATGGAACAATATTTTGCCTTTCTCTTTTTTCTTCCTAAAAAATAAATGTGCTCTGTACATGTATAGGAATAAACTTGAGCATAAATTATTACTGAAATTAAAAGCACAATACTGATACACACACATATATATATATATATATATATATACTTCTTCCTTAGAACTTGTTTTCCCTATTTGATCTTCAAAATCTCATGGAAATGTTAAAATTCTGTTTCGCCATCCCATGATTAGCAACATCATATTATAATGGCTTCTATGCTCTCTCTCTCTTAATACATCATGGCATGATCATTAATCAGTAAAGTTTTATGGTGTGTCTCACACAACTGACATTAGTTGTGTGAGGCCTCTTTGTATAGGGAAAAATTGAGTTTATATATATTGAATTGATTGAAAGATGATATGTCATGACACGAAGGCTGGTCAAAGAATGATGATTAGCAAAGAGGCACGAGTTGTAACAGATACGAGCAGGGACACAAGTAGAGGCGCGAGCAGTTACTCAAAAGACTCGACGCTCATACCTATTTAGATCCGCAAATTAAGGAGAATGAATCTGACAATACAAGAGAGTACATATACAATATTTAATAAGCATTAAATACTAAAAATGTTAGAGAATTTGTATTAAATTACAATGATTATGTAACGTAACATTTAATGCCTTTAATTGTCTATAATGACCTGATTATGACAAAGGCAAAACATATATCTTGGAAATAGCTATAAAAAGGAGAAAACCAGTCATTTGTAAGGACACGAGAAATCATCTTAATATACTGGTTTACTTTGTTTTCTTCTATCTATCTTATTGTTAGCAAAATCAATTTCCCTTATTCATTTCTGATTATCAGTACCCGAGTTCTTCTAAATTAAAGTTTTGACCGAAGTTCAACTTTTTGGTTAAACAAATTGGTTCCGTTGCCGGGACTCTGATAATCTATTCTTTCTTAGCCTAACCTTTTTTGTTGCATCAACCATGTCAAACATTAATGATAACACCCAAGGAAACCAAGGAAACCATCAACTCTAGGGGAATCCACAGGATGATCACACCTCGAGAAGGTACTCCTGATGGATCTCATGCAAATGGAAACGCTCAATTTGAAAATGATGAAGCTATCAATGAAGCTTTGCAAAAGCTAATCTCTCAACAGGTCAATAAAGCTCTTGAGGCCTTTGTCAACCAGTTATCTGTTGCACCACCAACACCCACTCCAAATAACAACACTTTGGAGAACCCTCGTTCTGGGCTTGCTAATTCAGGCAGTGGTGGAATCCCCAGCGAGTCACGAGAAGGAGAACCATGTAACTTAGTCAATTCTGATTTATAAAATTTAGTACTAACATTGCAAAAACAGCTCAAGGAGCAAAGTGACCGCATAAAGCAAATACCTGGAGTACCGCCCGTAATCAAAGGGATAGATACGGATAAATATTCACAACAACCTTGAAAGCCAAGTGCTGCTCCCTTCCCAATTCCAAAGAAATTCAAAATGCTCGATATTCCAAAATACGATGGAACAACTGATCCATGAGACCACGTGACTGCATTCACAACAGGCGTAAAAGGCAACGACTTGACCAAACAAGAAATTGAATCAGTATTAGTCAAAAAATTCGGTGAAACACTCACTAAGGGAGCATTAACATGGTATTCTCTTTTACCCAAAAATTTCATAAATTCTTTTGCTGAGCTTGCAGATTCATTTATCAAAGCACATTCGGGAGCTCAAAAAGTCGAAAAAAGAATGAAAGATATTTTCAAAATCAAGCAAAGGGGCTTAGAGTTGCTTAGAGAGTTCGTGGATAGGTTCCGGCGTGAAAGAATGATGTTACCGCGTGTACCTGACAATTGGGCGGCTATAGCCTTCACTAGTAATTTGAATGAAAAAAGCTCAGAAGCCACGAGGCAACTCAAGGAAAGTCTTCGTGAATTCTCAGCAACAACGTGGAATGACGTTTACAACAGGTATAGCATAAAGCTAAGGATAGAAGAGGATATTATCTCACGGTCTCAAAAAGAGAAAAAGGTAAGTTCGAGACGGGCGAAAACCGAAAAAAGGTCCGGTAAAAACAGGTACGAACTATATATAGGCCCAACAGGAAAAGATTCATGATCAAAACAGGACAATACAAGGTACGATCATAGATCGAGGAATAGAGAGTCGGGCTCATCATCAAGAATTGGGAATGATCGAAACACACGAGAGTCACAGGATGATGATAGAAACTTGAAGGCAAGATTCGGCAGTTATAATTTTAATGTGAGCACTTCCGAGCTCGTAGCTGTTTTAAGAAGCATGGGTGACAAGGTGCGGTGGCCAAAAGAAATGAGATCGAATCCAAACAGGCGCAATCCTGATCACTGGTGCGAATTCCACAATGATCATGGTCATAAAACGACAGACTGTAGGTTGCTACAAGGCGAAGTTGATCACCTATTAAAACAAGGGTATCTCACCAAATTATTTAGTGAGAAAGGTAAGCAAGCATACATGAAGAATAGGCAGGAGCCCCCTAAACCACCTTCTCTCAAAAGGACCGTTAATGTTATAAGCAGAGGTGAAGACATCAATGGTGTGACGTACACAACAACCAATAAAGTTTCCAAAGTCATAATTACCCATGGGAAGTGGGTGCAACATGTCTTAGAGGAAGAAATTATTATGTTTGATGATGCAGATGCAGATGATACTTGTACATGATACTAATGTGAAACGAGTTTTGATTGATCCAGGTAGTTCCGTGAACATTATTCTGCTAAGAGTACTATGCGAGATGCAAGCTGAAGATAAATTAATACCAAAGGCGCATACTTTGTCTAGATTTGACAATTCCAGCATCGTGATGAAATGGGAGGTAATACTTACTACATTCGCAGAAGGAGTTGTCAAAGATACAAAGTTTCAGGTGGTAGATATGGAGACGACTTACAATATGATTCTCGGGAGACCATATATCCACGAGATGGATGTTGTTCCGTCGACCTTACACCAAGTAATTAAATTTCCATCACCATGGGGAATATGTCAAATCTGTGGGGATCAATAGACATCCAGGAGCATAAACTCTGCAGCAGATTCAAGTACGATAAACGAAGAAAAATAACAGTTACAGAATCCAGTTGAGGGTACCACAACACAAACCTCAATTGAACAAGGGCGAACATATGTGGACTCAAGGCCTGATGCCATTCAAGAACCAGAGGAAAACAAAAATATCAAAACAACAATTAAAGAACTGGAGGCTGTAGTGTTATCCATACAATGGCCTGAAAGAAAAGTCTACGTAGGGGCCAATCTAAGCCAGGACATGAAAGGTAAGTTAATTGAGTTTTTGAAAACTAACATGGATTGTTTTGCTTGGTCCCATTCTGGTATGATAGGGATACCACTAGAGGTAATGACTCACAAATTAAATAAAGACCCATCATATCCGCCTGTCAAACAAAAGAAGAGAAAACAAGGAACTTTAAAAAATTAGGTGATTCAAGATGAGGTCCAAAAAGTACTAAAAATTGGGTCTATCCGCGAGGTAACGTATCCTAATTGGTTAGCCAATACTGTTGTGGTACCGAAAAATAATGGTAAATGGCGAGTTTGTGTAGATTACACAGACCTTAACAAAGCTTGTCCTAAAGATTCTTTTCCATTACCACATATAGATCAACTAATTGATGCTACTGCAGGACATGAATTGTTAAGCTTTTTAGATGCGTATTCAGGATACAACCAGATCAAAATGGATCCTATAGATGAATAAAAAACTTCATTTATAACAGACAGGGGGACTTACTGTTATAAAGTGATGCCTTTTGGTCTCAAAAATGCTAGTGCAACATATCAAAGACTAGTGACCAAAATGTTTCAAGAACATTTGGGAAAAACTATGGAGGTCTATATAAACGATATGCTCGTTAAAACTCAACATTCAGGGGATCATATATCACACTTCCTTGATACGTTTAAGATCTTGCGAAAATTCAATATGAAATTAAATCCTGAGAAATGTGCATTCGGTGTTGCATTAGGTAAGTTTTTGGTTTTTCTTGTTTCTAACCGTGGTATTGAAGTGAATCCCGCACATATTAAAGCCATTGAAGAGATCCCTGACATGCTTACAAGTAAAAAAGAAGTGCAGAAGTTGACAGGAAGAATTGTAACCTTGGGGAGATTCATTTCCAAATCACCAGAAAAATACTTTAAATTCTTTTCAGCTCTTAAAAAGCAAGATCAGTTCGAATGGACTGAGGAATGTCAACATACACTCAAAAATTTGAAGACATACTTATCAAATCCGTCGTTGCTCGCAAAAACAAAAGTTGGGGAAAGATTGCTCATCTACCTTGCTGTCTCCGAAGTAGCGGTAAGTGCTGTGTTAGTTTGTGAAGATCAAGGTAAACAATCTCCGATTTATTATGTCAGCAAAACTTTATTAGATGCGGAGACGCGATATCCTCAATTAGAAAAGCTTGCACTTGCACTAATAATGGCATCTACAAAAATAATGCCTTATTTTCAATGTCACTCTATTGCTGTAGTAACTACTTATCCATTACACAATATATTACACAAGCATGAGTTGTCAGGTAGGTTAGCCAAATAGGCTATAGAATTAAGTGAATATGACATCACATACCAGCCTAGAACCGTGATAAAATCTCAAGTGTTAGCAGATTTTGTGGCTGATTTTAGCCAAGGAATGCAATTAGAAGCAGAAAAAGAATTACAGGTGTTCAACGGATCTAATCCGGGAATTTGGACTTTATTTACTGATGGTTCATCTAATGTGAATGGTGCAGGCTTAGGAATTATTTTGGTACCACCTACGGGTGAAACCATTCGACAAGCCATTAAATGTCATTCTATAACTAACAATGAGGCAGAGTATGAAGCTGTGATTGCAGGTTTAGAACTAGCATGAGAACTCGACATTAATCAGATTGTAATCAAAAGTGATTCGCAGCTCGTAGTTAATC